AGGAGTGGTGGCATGGTGCAAGTAAAGAGGATGCTCGTCGACACGGGGAGTTCCATGGACGTGTTATTTAAAGATACGATGGCTCGCATGCAGCTATAACCTGAATTGATCAGGCCCTCGGAGTCTGTGCTAATCGGATTTTCTGGGACACCCGCTAGGGTGATAGGGCGAGTGCGCCTGCCGGTGACCTTGGGTGACGGGGAACAGAGGGTGACGCTTGCAATTGATTTTCGAATAGTGGATTGCCCATCGCCATACAACGCGATCCTGGGGATTCCCCTTTTAGCCTTGTTCAACGGGGTGGCCTTTACTTGTCACCAAACCTTGAAATTTATTGCTCCACAAGGAGTGGGAGTAGCCCGGGGGCGGGGCGCCCCGCGTTACGCAAGAGAAACAGGGCGGAAGCGACGATGTACCGAGGTAAGGGTCAATATGATGGAAACCGCGGATAAAGAAGCGCCACGAGCCGAGGCCGCCGACGAAGAACTTTTTGTAGCTTTGGACGTAGAGAGCCCAAAAAGGCAGGTGAGGATATCGGTGGAGCCGACCAGTGAGATGAGGGAACGATTGGTCGCCCTTCTGCGAGAGTTTGCGAACCTTTTCGCATGGAGCGCCATGAAAATGTCGGGCGTCGCACCGGAGACAGTCGTACATAAGTTGGCAGTCGAAGAGGGAAGGAAACCAGTGCAGAAAAAACGCAGGAACTTATCACCAAAGAAAGAGGCAGCACTCAGAATAGAAGTGGACAAGCTCCTAGGCACTAATTTGGTCGAAGAGACTGCCTACGTGACTTGGTTGTCGAATGTGATATTCGTGCCAAAGCTGTTGGGGGATTGGAGAATGTGCGTGGATTATACGAGCCTTAATAGAGCATGCCCACAAATGCTTACCCGATGCCCCGCATAGATCAATTGGTGGACTCCACGACGTATCATGAGATGCTCAGCTTTGTGGATATGTTCTCAGAATATCACCAGATCCCCATGGCAGAGGAGGATCGACTGAAGACAACGTTCATGAGACCTTTCGTGAATTTTTGCTATCGGGTCATGGCGTTTGGACTAACAAACGCGAGCGCCACCTATCAAAGAATGGTTAACAACGTGTTCCGCAACCAAATCGGTCGCAATGTGGAGGCATACGTGGACGACTTGGTAGTCAAGAGTCGTAGGCGCGAGGATCACTTGGAAGAACTACGAGAAACATTCCAGGCCATGCGGGCGCATAAACTTCGCCTCTATCCCCTCAAATGTGTATTTGGCGCCGAAGCAGGGAAGTTTCTAGGGTTCATGATCACTAAACGAGGCATTGAAGCCAACCCAAGGCAGGTGGATGGTATCCTCAAGCTGACACCCCCAAAGACGCCTAAGGAAGTGCAAGGTTTGGCGGGCAGGTTAGCGGCCCTTGGGCGCTTTATCCCAAGGTCCACTAATAAGTCCGCTCCTTTTTTTCGAACGCTCAAGAAGGCGGTGCGTTTTCAATGGAATGCCAAGTGCAATGGGGCGTTTGAAGAATTGAAGCAACTCCTAGCCGCCCCGACCGTTATGACGGCGCCCAAAGCGGGAGAAACGATGTACCTCTATATTTCCGTACCAGAGGTCACGGTAAGCGCCGTCCTCGTCTCAAGGGAGGCGCCTACCGGGGGGTACCACTAAGAGGGCCCAAAGAGAGGCCCAACGAGGCCCGTTGAGCCAAGAATAGGCCCAAACAGTTACCCAGCAGAGGAAGCCCATAAATGGGCCCAAAAGGACAAGGTGAAATGCGCATGAGGACAAAACCACAAAGGCCAAGGAAGTCCAGACTGTCAAGTGGTCCCCATCTTACAGGCGCCTGACAGTCGGCAGAAGCCTGGCAAGGTGGTTGAGGCATCTGACAAAGATGGAGGTACGATGCATTAAATGTAATGGTGACGTGGAGGAGATCAACCTCGAAGTTGGGTGAGTATAAATAGGGGCAGTTGCTAGCATTTACACAGGTTGGACTCTCTCACTAAACTCATTTTTTACGGACTTCTCTCTCTAGAAAGTGACTGACTTGATCGTTGGAGGGCTAACGGGCCCGGGCGCCCCCCTCTGTGTTCGTGTGTGTAGGCAGACGCCTAGCATCAAGGGCGTGGGATCGGTGGCGAGGCGTCAAGGCACAAACAAAAACAAACAAACTTAGAATTTGAAGAAAATATGCGAAAAGATGAAGTCACTATATAATAAGTCAAATATGAGAAATAAATATGCAAAACATTTTTCATATCTACGGGAGAACAATCACTCAAGAAACTTCTTATCTATGCTCTAGCATTTGTACTAATCTTAATTCTCTTACTAGCAGACATATATATTACTACCGCACTCTAATTATATATGATCACATCAATAACAATGGTTGTTGACCAGTTGTTTAAATTGGTGGAGTGCTTGGTTGAAGTGATAGATCGTTTGATGGAAGTGGTAGACCGTTATCTTGTAAAATGATCGACCGTTTGTTGAACATAGCATAATGGAAAATAGTACATATGGTCGACCATTCCAGTAAACAGGTCGACCATTTTCTTCGAAGAGGTCGACCAAATTAGTGAAGAGGTAGACCGTTTTGTTCAAGTCACGATGACTTGCAAGTGACCATAGCAAAATCTTTTTTCTTTTCAATTTTTTTTAGTATATGAGTTTTTCCAATAACTTAATATTAGCATTAGTTACAAGTGTAGAATTAATAAAAATTTATATTTTTCGGGAATTTTTTAGAATGTGCTCTTATTAATTAATAGGTTTTGTGGTTCACCAGACCTATTCCTGATAGTTTACTAATTTTTTTTTATAGATTTTACATTAGATACTTGCTTTCTAAAATTCTATATTTTTAGTCTTATTGGAAATTTAAAAAAGCTCAATTAATTAAAAAAACTAATGAGTCACACACTAAGCATAGCAATTATAATTAGATCAACTTCAAAATCAAATGTTTCTAATTCAACCTAATAAAATTGCATCTTTTTTTCTATGATTCAAAGAAACACTTTATCAATGTTTTCTATATATAGAATGCAAAGAAAAATTAACAACATTTCGCTCCATCATCATGTACATTATCCCTTTGGTGCAATGTTAGAATATAAACTTAAATTTTCTTCTTATTTTCATTAAGAAAATTATATTTTACATACACATATTATTCAGATCACATATTAGAATAAAGAGCCTATATTTTCCTATACGCGAACAAAATTACACTATTTAAGACATAGATAGATATGTATACTGAAGTAACCACTCCGAGTACCCATCGTTTGTAAACAGAATTTCGTGGGTGGTTGTTTGCTTCCCTCAAGAACTTGTTCATGGTTGTATGACCTGTACTGGTCCTCTACTTCCTCTCCTAGCCTTGGATCTAACCTCAGTGAGCACTGTTTTTTTTGCCCCATAGGAGAAAGATGAACATGTTTACAAGATTTACACAGCTAGGCAGCAAGTACCATAGCCAGCTTCAACTACCAACCCCTTCACCTTGTTTGTTTCTCTTTCTCCCCTCAACTTTGCACAAAAAGAAAGCAAAAGATGACAGCAGTGTCATTTAGCTTTCATCATCATGTGATGGATGGTAGATCCAAGAGAAGAAAGAAGAGAGTTGCCCACCACCATATCCCCAATTTATCTCAGGCCCCAAAAACTGAAAAGACCTTCTCTTGGACCACATTCCCCTCCTTTCTCCACAGTTTCCATAGCCCACAAACCCAACTTTTTCTTCAGCATGGGACAAACTTCAGATTCCCATCACATTTACCCATTTTTGGTCCATGTAAATTACATTGATGGCCACTATACTTTGGAATCACTCGCGAATCCCACATTACGTTTTGTTCTTGTAACCAATTCGTCAAGACTAGCATGTCAACTCAATTAGGTTAATAATGAAAACAACAACTTGAGTGCTAATCAACTTATACAACCGACTCACTTCAATGCATACCGTATCTAAACTAAACTCGTTACTCAATCATTTCAACCAATATTTGCCCTCTACCCTTAACCTGATAGAATTGGACGAAGTAACTATTACGTCAAATTTTTTAAAAGTTCTGTGTTACATTCATTATAATCAAAGTTCAATGAGTCAAGCTGATATTGACCCATTGTTTCGCTCCCACTTACCCAATGGGACTTGGCCATTTCCCAGCACACGATTACCTCAACAAAAACCCAAAATTAGGTTGCTACTACCACTAATCCATCCATCTCATCAAGGATTGTGACAGAAACTTGATTTCATTAAATGGCTTGTTGCAGCAAATGGGCAGCTCCAGCCATTGCTAAATATTGATTATGATGGCTTTATTTAGTAGCTCTGCAGGGAATTGCTTAGCCTGCTCCCTTCTTTCTCACTGTTGGACCACAGCCCAGTTAAAAGGGGAAGGTGATACGTCTGATCTGATATATATTTGGTAGATTGGCTTTGCACTCTTGCTTTCTTGAGTGTTGGGATCCGTTACAGCTTTAGTTATTGCAAAATGCAGACCCTTAATGCTGTGATGGAGAATTCAGAAACTATTGATTAACATTCCATACTCTCGGCTCTATCGCCTTCTGTTACTCTCACCTAATAATGTTCTTTAGTGTAGAATGGAAAAAGTTAGAAAGTATGTAAGTCAAATAGTTTGGACCATAGTGGCTGTAGTTTTTCACTGCCAAGCATGGCTGGCTAGCATTCAGCTATTACCAGACACCAATCCCACTTGTCTAAATCATTAATAAAATAAAACCACAATTCATTCAGTGACAGCTTAACCTTTCTGGTTTCTGAGTCCAATAGAATGTCTGCTTGCAAATCAAGAATGCTTTTAACACACAAAGTTCCAATCTTTGTGAATTCTCTACTCTCCAAGTATTACCTAAATCATGCAACCTTTTGGATGTTCTGAAAATACACTTTTATATGATTCTGCAAAGACCCTTCAGAGAGAGAGAGAGAGAGAGAGAGAGAGAGAGAGAGAGGGAGGGAGGGAGGGAGCGAAAATATTGAACTTTTCATTCACTGCTTTTCCTTCTTTTTTATGACTCAATACATACAGAGATGACAAATTATACAAACTGAAATTCTACATCTATTTTTACCCTATTGATGTGTACAAAACTGAGAGTTCAAGGCTTCTACGGAACTGCACTGAAGAGGATTAACTATTGTATGTACAGAAGGTACCTAAAACTGAACTCATATGGCATGACCTGGATGATTTGTGTACTTGGCTGAGTTTTAGTACCTCTGTCAAGGGACTTCATTGCTTCTTTCCCAAGTTCACTTGGTAGCTGCAGGCAAATCCAGTCCAGCAATGAGTCGAAGTCTTTTGCAAAGTCCAGCAAATACCAATCCAACAGCTTCGGGATAGCAAACTTGTTAGCTGAAATCCCAATTGCTGCCTGCAAGTACTCTTTCTTCGCCGCCTCGAGCTCATTCTCGACTTGTGCTGCTGTGTACACTCTCACCTTCAGTGCAGAAAAGAAAAAAAGATCACTGTTGAAAGTTGACTTATAGTGCTTTAGGAAAACATCAAATGAGGGGGAAGTTTTAGATGGCGATCTGAAGAAAGGGAACTTACAGCAGGAGAAGACCAACTTCCACAAGAGAGAGCAAATGTCACCAAAGGTTCGGATAACTCCAACCCGAATTTGCTCCTTGCTGTCATCTCATCGTTCTTCAACCCTCTAGATAATGCCTGAATGATCAAGAAAGAATTATTTCTTCGAGTATGCGGTAAATTCCCAAGTAAGAAAATGTGAGCTGTGGGCAGTAACTAGGTACTTACATATTTGGAGTGGTAAGGCAATCTGAGAATGAAGTGTTCAATGGTTATTGCACTTATCAGGTGTCCTCCAACATTTATTGTTGCCTAAATAAACAAGCAAAGGGAAACAGGAAACATTCAGGAACCCAAATTTTAATATAGCATTGTAAAATGATGTCACCAGGCTTATGAATTAGTTTTGTTGCAGAAAGAAAGTTACTCATAAATACTACTTATTAGGTCTCTCTTCACTGTCTTACCTCTCTCATTACTGCAACAACCATCTCAGGGCTTTCTGGTATACCACACTCCAGAAATGCCTGCAACAAGAAACTGAAAAGTTACAGCAAATTTAAGGTAAAAAAAACTCAAGAAATGCACCAAAGGGAAGAGGGTTAATTTCCATACATTCATCATGCAGGAGTTGTAGATGTTGATCCAGAATGCAAGTTTCTCCTGATGGGTTAACTTATCCAACTTGACAGCGGCAAGTTTACCAAGCAGAATCCTTTAGAAGATTAACAAAGAAAGCCATATAAGAATCTGGTTGAAAAGGAAGCCTATTTGAAAGATATTATTTCCAAAATGGGACTTACTTGAGTTTATGGAGTAGAAACAAAGAGTTGGATGTTCTGTCGAGATTGATAGTGTCAGCTTCAATTACACACAAATGCTTGTACTGACCAACATCTCTCCTTCCAAAATCTGCCCATATCCCATAAGGATCATACTCGCTGCTGTTGTGGTTCTTCCTCTTCGTGCTCAACCTCGCGAAAATGCTCGACAAGCACTTCACGATGTCCTCCGATACCTTGTTTGGGTTGTCATCCACCAGCTGCTAAAACACAATTCATACCAAGCTCTTCGAAGTCAAACCAATGTTCTTGCGAAATGCTGATGAATATCTGTTCAGCCAGGTTTGATTTGATACCTTTAACTTCCGAGGATCCATGAGCTTCTCCGGTTTATGATCAGTTACAACTCTTTTGACTGGCGCTTGAACCGTATTGTGAGCATTGTGAGCTGACGATGATGAACCCCTCCCTTTTTTCGCTGCTGAATTGGAAGAACAGCAGCCCATTTCATTCCCTTTCCCCTGCTGTTGCTGCTGCTGCTCGTTCTTAGGCGGGATTGAATGGTGGGAATCTGTAGAGGAATTTTCTCGAAGGTTCCTCTTGGAGCTGGAAATGTTGACAGCTTCTTGGTACAAGTCTTGCCTGAAATGCACTACTTGTTCTTCTAACCGTACGACTTCCTCTTCTAAGACAGCAACTTCTGCTAGAAGCTCCAGCGTCTGCAACAGAACTAAAACGAGGGATCAGATTTACAGAGGAAGGAATCACTCGAGAAGTGGAAAACTGGTTGTTTGAGGAGACTAACGGCAGAGGGAAGATAAGGAGGGAGGCGAGGCAGAGCTCCCATGGGTCTATTGAAAGCTCTCTCCAGAGCTCTGTGCACATTCTCTTCGTATCTCAGCTTCTTCTTCAGTTTATCAACCTGAAAAAGATTGAGAATTTGGAATTGGGTAATCAGGAAATTAAGCCAATCAGTCAAATAGAACCAAATTGAACTGAACCCATTCGTACATCTTGCTGGAGAGCCATTTTCTTGTCTCTTCTTGGGGAAGCTCTGCGGGATTTGGTTGCATTGTTAGTTCCATTGATGGAATAGCTCTCCTGCATTCCGGATTACAACAGGATTGAAGAAAAGTCAATCAATCAGCTTCACCGAGAAGGAGAACTCTTCATGGTAATTAGGATGAAAACAGAGGATTTTGAATTTTCCCCTGTTTTAAGAATGGTGATCGATATATTTCTCTCTTGATTTAGATTTGGATTTGGTGACCAAGGAAGGGAACAAGACTTAGGATTCTATTATTGAGAAGAGGAAAAGAACAAAGGGCGTAATTTCATCATGATATCTCGGAGGAGCGTTTGCTTGGGCTTTGGGACTGAAGCCATGGATAAAAACAGAGAGATGCCGGCGAAAAAGGTAATTGGAGGGGGGAGTTTGCAAATCCCAATACCTTTGAGAGAAAGAAGAAAAAAAAAATCATGCAAATGTATGGGAGACTGTACAGTGGAAACCGTTTTCCAAAACCAATTGATTGATCAAACAAAATGGCAGTAATAATAACAGACGAAAACGTATCTGTTACGACGAAGCAACCCAACCAGTGGGAATTAATTAATAGTATTTTTACTGCTTGCTTACCTTTCCAAGCTTAGCCGGAGGAGGAGCTTTCATGGCGGAATGCCTAGTTGTACTGGCTCGGCTACTCATCCTCGTCTGTTTTTCTTTCTCAAGTTTCAACTAGCACCCAGTTCGTTAAACCTGAAGAGGAACAAAACCCAACTCGTCAAATAACAACAATCCAGAAAGAAACAAAATTGTAAGCCAGACAGAGTAGTGAATACAGCGAGCATTTAAAATGAAACAGAGGATTAAATGGAGAGCAGAGAGGCACACACACACATATATACCTTTTATCATCCGAAAGTTGGTTCCTTTTCGTCGGGTTGAGAGAACCCAAGCCTCAGACACTCAGACTGCTAGCATTTAAAACAGGGGCCGAATCAGACTGTATCAATAGGCACCAGAGAGGCAGAGGCCGAAAGAGCAGTTCCTCGATCACAGTGAACCGAATCCCCCACAAAGCTAATGGAAGCTGGAGAGATAGAGGGAGGGAGAGAGGCAGTGAGTGGGTTTGACCTCGGTTTAATGTTAAAATGGTTGTGCTTGGAAATGGATGGAAGGAAGCAAGGAAAGGAAAGGAAGAATCTTTATGTGTATATATATGACAGCAGAGAGAGAGAGAGAGAGAGAGAGTAAAATAAGGTGAACACCGAAAAGGTTGGGGGGAGTGGTGGGATGGCGAAGATGGTGGTGGCCTGGTGCCTGGTGGGAGCTGTAGCTGTAAAAACGTGAAGGCGCGCAGGAACAAGGCAACCGCGGTCCAAAAACGGCGAGAGCCGACCCCAAACGACGTCGTATTATTCCTCCGATAGAAAAGAAAGGGAAGGGTGGCTTGGCGGTGGGCCGGCGGCTGTCGTCGGCGATCGGTGCCTGCCAGTGTGGGTCCTTTTCCGCGTCATCATCAAAGCAACGTGGCGCCTCCTTTGCTCTTTCTTTCCATTTTCTTTTTCTCCTCTTCCATAGATAGATTGATTGATTATTTGTTTATACCTTTCTTTCTACCTGGAAATTCTATTTTGTTATTAATGCTAGTTTATAATCTTTTTACGAAGTGTTTTGCCGGTCTCGTCTACTTGAAAGCACCTGGAGCTTTCATTCAGGACATAATTATTGGATTGGATTACTTCATTAGGCCTCCTAATTCCAATCCAATTCCGATTATTTTGCTTCTAATTTGATTGAGGTTTATAACTTTTAACAGTGTGGACTTCAGTGGCGGACCCAGAATTGCCGGAGAGGTGTGTCGCCGATAAAATAATATAGTAATTAAAAAATTAATTTAAAAAATTATTAAAAATTAAGAGAAATTACTAGAAATTAATTCATAAAGTTCATGTTTACTAGAAATATCTATAAATACATTCATTGCTTATGTTGCGAAGCAAATTCTTTTCGATATACACAACTAAACAATGATTCATAAATTGGACTTCCTCCCTGCAAACAAAAAAAATAGCTTCAACATTCCATCAACATTAGAGATTCATATCAAATGTTAATCGAAATTGGGTGGGATGTGGCACTTATAAATGCGCACTCGATTTATTATGTACTTGCTTTGTTCTCAATCATTATTTTCTTAAAAGATGATAAATATTACTTTATAAATTTCAAAATTCCTTAAGGTATCGAACTTGAAGAAACTACTTAAAAGTTGAGTTGATCGTCACAACACACAATTAAGTAACCTAGATTCTACATTTCTACCATTTGGCCCAATACTAATAATTACATGGATTACTTTCATTGTTATATATAAATATACAGTGCAATTTACTCATTATTCATAAGAAGAAAACTTTTCTGATAATATTGTCCGTGTTGACTTAATTAATTAGAGAGCCTATTTGGTGTATCGGAAATGTGAAATCTATCTCACGTGTGGAATTTTGACTTGTGATCTTAACTGAAACAGAAACCAATCACATGTATGCCAACTAAACCCACCACCTATTTCAGCTCATTTTGGAAGTCTTACCTATTTTTGGAAAATCGTTATTTTAAGTATGTATAATACTAATTAGATTTCTTGTTTGCTGTAGTGGCCGCTAATTGTTAATCAACCGACTAATAATTAGTAATTACTGAAAAGAATACATCTAGCATCGTAATGTAAGTTTAGGGTCGTTTGGAGGTTAAGATTCTAGATGAAAGATTTAGCCAATACATGATGTTTATGCCCGACAACCTCCTTCTTACGCCTCACGCTCCTATCTCCCTCGTCCGCTTGCACAGCCGCCTCCCTGCACCCACACAAGCGCCTAGCGGACCGAATTGGGCCGTTAGCACTCCAACGCTCAAGTAAGAACCTACTTTTTAGAGAGAGAAGTGAAGGAACAGTTCTAGTAAGAGAAGCAAAACTGAGTAAATGAGGTTTACCTACTCGACTATTTATACCCGGGGCGAGATCGACCGGTACACGTCGCTCTCGCCCTGTGTCAGACCCGCCATAAATGCGCCGTACACCCCTAGACCATGCGCCTCGACCATCTGACACTTCGGTCAGATGTTGGAGGCGCATGACATCACCTGGTCAGCTTTTCGTACACTTCCGACCGTTGGCTGCCTTTGTCTCACATGTCCCTCGCCAGGTGCCCGGTCCCACCTGTCTCACACGCTATCTCAGCCACCCAGGCCTAGGCCTGGGCGCCCTTCAGCCCAAGGTTCCTGCCCCCATGGGCTTTCTCAGTCTTCCTGGTTGGGCCCGCGCCTCCGGTCCATAATAACTTACTTTGGGCTTCTCCCTTCTGGGCCGGCCCATGTTCATTTCCCCAACAATTGCCCCCCAGTTAGGCGCCTAACGCCCAAAGTTAGGGGCCTGACTGTGTATCTTCTCCGCGCCCTCCTTGGATCTGCGTCCGCTCCCGAGGGCTCTCTTGTGGTTCATGCGCTTTGCCTCTTTTGAGGTTCGCGCGCCTCCTTCTCCGCTATGCGTTCTCTCTTCGTACGATTTACTCTCTACTTCTCCCTTGTATTTCTCTTTTCTTATCCACGCTCTTTTCCCCCACTCGCCTATACGTAAGTATGTGTTCTTTTGCTTACTTATTATTTTTTATATATATATATATATATATTTTATTTTATATATATATATATTTTTTATTTTATATATATATATTTTTTATTTTATATATATATATATTTATTATTTTTTATTATTTTATTATTATTTTATTTTCTATCGACTGCCCCCCTTTCCGCCTCTTTTTCTGTGCCATGGTGCCCCTTGCGATTCCTCTCTCTTCCCTCCCCTCGATCCGCTCGCGATTCGAAATTCAAATTTCAAAATCGAGAGCGGATTGGGGAAGTCTCTTCGCCTCCCCTTTCTCTCTCTCCTTCGCTCGCCCCTTCCTCCCTATAAATTTCCTTCCTCCCCCCTTAACAGTCCTCACAACTTGCAAACTTCATCTCACTACTTCCTCTCTCTAGCTACACACTCTCTCCACTGCCCCCAACTTGCTCTTCCCCACACGCCTCGTTTGCTATGGCATCCTCCCGGCAAATACCACTCAGCACTCCCGCGCCTTCCGCCGAGACGACCGCCCCTCACCGCGGATCCACTCCACCTACGACAGAGGCGCCTCCCACCTCCTCTGCGCCTTCCGGATCCCAGGCGCCTGCCGTTGGCGGGACCTCAAACGCCCCCGCCGCCCCTGCTGCATCGAGTAAGTCTATCTCTATGCGCCTTACCTGTTGTCGTTGAACCGTTTTCTCCCGTCCTCTTCAACATTTTTCTCGACGTTTATCATAGGGTTCAAGCGCCCCTACGCACTTCGTTTTCACCCTTGTTTTTTTAAGCGCCCCGTTTATCATAAGGTTGAAGCGCCCCTACGCACTCCGTTGCCTTACACCTTGCCCCTTCCTTTGACTCAGGAGCTTCCGTGTCCCAAGACTACATGTTTCGGCCATGGGACTCGATGTGGCCTCCCAGCTATGCGCCTCAAAACACTTCGATGTTGTCCCTAGAAGATGTCGGTCCACACCACGTCTCGAAACAATTAGGGGCGCGCCTAGAAAAACTGGTCGTGTGCGCCCAATTACCTGCGCCGTGGAGGTACATCCACGCGCCCCCCGAGGCTCGGATCGGGTTGTGCGGTGAGGGGTGGGTGGGTTTGTACCAAGAGTTCATCCGGTTCGGCCTACGCTTCCCCATCGAGCCTGTCCTTGAGGGCGTCATGGTTGCCTGCGCCTGTCCCCTCGCACGCCTTTCTCCCTCCATTATTCTGACCACCATTGCCTTCCGCTATCAGTGTCGGAGACATCACGTGCCCCCCACCTTTAGACTTTTCAAACATTTTTTCAAAATGACCAAAAGTAACAACTGTCTGATCTTACAAAGGCGTAAGGCATTAGGGTACGGATTCATCAGTAGCTGCCGGAAGATGGGGCGCTCGTGGTTGGACTCGTATTTCTTCGTCAAACCACGTGAAGTGCCTTTCTTTGAGAGTGGACGCCCTGTGAGTTCAGAGTGGTCTTTGGGGAACCTCTTCGCTTTTAACAAAGTGGAACCTCTAAGTCAGACTGAGCAGGACATGGCGAAGAGTATATCGGCCCACCCTATCGACCTCGATGCCGGGGATGAGTATGCTCATCTTCTCGCCGATTTCTACGGCGATGGTACTAACTATGCGCCTTTTCGTTGCCCACACGCCTTTATTAATGTTGTGATTTATTTGCTCTAACTCGCTTTTGTTTCTTTGCCTGGTACAGGGACTGACTTCACCTCGGTGACAAACCTGATAAGGTCGAAGCTCGACCTTCTCCGCAATGCAAACATCGGCCAAGCCGCCCCAACCAGTCAAACGCCTCGTCCAGCCAGGACGCAGCCCACAAGGTTAAGGGTGAAAAGGGCCGCTGCTGCGAGCGCTTCTTCAAGGGGGCGCGACGCCTCGCCTTCACCGGCCGCCCCCGAAGGTGAGGCGGCCGTTCTTGACTCACCCGCTTCCGAGCATCATGCCTCTTCTGCCTCGGCTCCGTCTTCCCACTCCACGCCCCGGGAGACCGGCGAGGTGAGCACGCCTCTGTCCCCTTCCTCCGCTGCCTCTCGCAAAAGAGCTGGCGGCGCCTTACAAGGTCCGGGGAAAAAGAACAAGTCCGCCACTGTGCGCGAGCCCGGGCTGCCCCTTAGCTTTGTGGAGCCCACGATTGGGCCGTACACTGGAGAAGTGATTCCTCCATACCTCCAGTCCAGGCGCCCTCTAGTCAAGGTGCCAGTGGACGTCCCTGTCCGGGCTGCAAAAGACATCCCGGCGGCTATGGCGATGGCCAGGGCGCACTACGACGTGGTAGAGCACCCGAGTGGCCTGATTGCAGATAAGCCCTGGACAAAGTTGACGAACATGAGCGTCCAGGTAATGAGGCGCATACTACTTTCCTTCCCCCTTTTATCAATTGATTACCCCCTTCCTCAATTGACTATTTTGTACTAATCGTTTTCTATTTTGCGTCTGCGCGCCTTAGATGATGCTTCTCTGCGAGGCTACCACACGTGAAATTGCCTCGATTTCGCGAGAAGGCACAGACGCCGCCATCACTGCTGAACGCCTGAGGGCGGACTTGGATGCTGCCAAGTCCGATTTGGATGCTGTCAAGTCCGATTTGGATGCGAAGCTGGCGGCCGAGCGCCTCAAGGCCCGAGTCGAGTTGGAGGGAGAGGTCAAGGCGCAGGCCGAGTGGGAGAAGGTGGTCAAGGAGCTCCGAGAAAGAGGCGCCGCGCTCGTGCGGGAGCGGGACGCGCTACTGGAGGAGAAGAGCGTGTTGCGCCAGGCTGTTGACGATCTGGAGGAGGCGCATAAAAACACCAAGAAGTCCCGGGCGCATTACAAGCGCGAGCTGAAGAAGTCTCAGGCCGAGATGGAGCGCCTGAACCAGGACTTGGCCGACTACCCCGAATCAGAGGCTGGCAAAGATCTCCAAGCTAACGTCGTGATTAGCACCGTGGAGATAGTCAAGGCTAAGCTCCAGGCCGACCATCCAGAAGTGGACTTTCTATTGCTCTCATTGAGCATGTAGTGAAGGCCATGGACAGCCAGTCGGGCGCCTCAGGTGCTGGAGGCATGCCACCCTCGGATGGCGACGCGCCTAGTGGTGGAGGAGGCGGCACGGCTGCGGAGGTGGAGGCGGATGAGGAGGAGGTTGATGAGGAGATCAGCGTCGAGTAGTTTTTTTTATGCTTTGCCCTTTTGAACAAGAAGTTTATTTCCTATGATTGCTTTTCCCCTTTGGAACGAGAAGTTTAAGTATTACCTGCCTTGACTGAGGGCGCATTACGTCTGCCTTAAATGTTTTGCGCATTACATAGGGCGCATTTGTTGTTTATGCTTTCATGCATAGGGCGCGATTGCGAGGGCGCATTACATCTACCTTGACATTTTGCTCCTGACGTTACACAAGGCGCGGTACGTGGGTCGCATTAGTTGTTGCTGCTCACATGCATGGGGCGCGATTGCGAGGGCGCATTACATCTGCCTTAACATTTTGTTTTCCGACGTCATACAAGGCGCGTTATGTAGGGCGCATTAGTTGTTACTACTCACATGCATGGGGCGCGATTGCAGGGGCGCTTTTGTGCGTGTTACTGACAAGCATAGGGCGCAATTGAAAGGGCGCTTTTGGAATTACTTTAACTAAAACCACAGGGCGCAAATTGAAAGGCGCTTTTGTAGATACTACTAACAAGCATAGGGCGCGATTTGGAAGGCGCTTTAGATTTTACGACAAAAACTACTCACAAACTTAGGGCGCAATTGGAAGGGCGCTTTTGGAATTACTTAGATAATCTACGGGCGCAATTGGATTAGGGCGCTTTACACGCTCAAACCTCCTGACTGCCTCCTACGCAAAATCTGCCCCCTTCTACCCAGCCTTGCTACTCGGCCTCACCCCACTACCTCTTCATTTTCCTTGCTATGATAGACACGAAGGTTCTGTGCATTCCACGTACGTTTGATGCTCTTGCCACTCATGCGCTCCAGCTTGAACGTTGCCGGCCCCACCACCTCGCGAACCCGATAAGGACCCTTCCAGTGGTGGAGCCAGGAAATTGGCCAAGGGGGTGTCTTTATCATATCATAAAAAATCCCCTATACAATAGAAAAGTCAATTTTAAATTAAACAAAAAGTCAACAACGCAATACTCTAAATTCACACAATTACATTAAAATAGTTTCACGTACACTTGTTACAACGTCAAACAAATAAGTTCAGTACATACAAATCAAGACTTCCATTCATCAAATATTACAAATTAGAACTCAGAAGTACCTTGGAATTGATTTTGTGAAACAAACAAGTGAACTTCAATTGGTACTTCTTCACTTTCAACTTTGTTTAAACAAAAGACAAGAAATTTCTCTGTTGTAGAGCTAAAAAAAAAGAGCGAGTTTAAACAAAAGACAACAATTTATTACTATAAATAAAGACGAAAGTGCATTACATAACAAAACTCACACGATCGAAATGATAAGAAATTCTTCCTGCAACTGAATGGTCATTGGTTCGAATTTGTATATACCCCTACTCGAAAAAATTTTCTCCAAACCCAAGGGGGGTGCAAAGCACCCCCTCCTCTCCAAGTGGCTCCGCCACTGGACCCTTCCACTTTGGCGCTAGCTTCCCCTCACTGGCTTTGGGCCTGAAATCCCTCTTCAACACCATGCTCCCCCGCTGTATCTGGTGAGGATGCATCTTCCTGTTATAATACCTTGCCACTTGCTGTTTCATGGCTTCTAGGCGGAGGGAAGCGACGTCGCGCCGCTCTTCGAGCATGTCTAGGTCGTGCACGTGCTCTCCCTCGTTGGCCTGCGCATCGTAGCTTACCATCCTGAAGGTTGGTATGCGCAGCTCTACCGGGATAACTGCCTCGCTCCCATACGTAAGTGCAAATGGGGATTCTCCTGTTGCCACCTTGTATGTCGTCCGGTGTGCCCACAGCACACTCTGGAGCTCCTCAACCCATCTGCCCTTTGCTTCCAGGAGCCTTGTATGCAGCCCATGTAGTATGCTTTTGTTAGCAGCCTCCGCATGCCCATTCGCCTGAGGATAAGCCACTGACGAGAAGCGCAGGATCACCCCCTTCTCATCACAGAAGTCCACGAACTGCTTGCAATCAAATTGCTTCCCATGATCGGTCACTATGGCCTCTGGCAACCCAAATCGCGTGAAGATGTTCCTGTTTGTGAACTTACGAACTTGCGCCTGAGTAATGGACGCCAGGGGCTCAGCTTCAATCCATTTGGAGAAGTAGTCAACTGCCACTATCAAGTATTTCATATGCCCGGACGCTTTGGGGAATGGTCCTAGCAAGTCCATGCCCCATTGAGAGAATGGCCATGCGCCCACATTTCCACGCATAGGCGCAGCTGGAATGTGACTGTCATTGGCATGTATCTGACATTGGTGGCAGCTGGCCACATGCTTTGTTGCATCCGCTCTGATGGTTGGCCAGTAGTACCCCTGCCTCAACAGTACCTTCTCAAGGCTGCGCGCTCCCGCATGCATACCACATGCCCCTTGATGGACCTCTTCAATTGCCTGCTTCCCTTCCACCTCAATGAGGCACCTTAGGTAGACGCCGGAGTGCGACCGCTTGTATATCTGACCATCAATGAGCGTGCAACGCGCGGCCTTACGCCGCACTTGCCACCCGTCCCTATCGTTTTCCGGAAGGACCCCCTGCACCAAGTATGCTCTGATAGGCGACAT